AACATGTTCCCTCTTTCAGGCGTGGGGGGCATTATAATGTGACGGTCAAGAGTTGGTGGGGGGGTAGTGTTGATAGCTGCCTTCCCTCTAATCTATCACTTTGAGATTAGGAATGGCTAGCACAAATACTTCTAGCCAAGTTTTGCGCAAAATTCAACAAACAAGTACAACCACTTCATTACATTTCATGTTTCCATGTCCGGCCATGCTCACTCTGATGATTGTGCATCTTGACAATAGTCCTGCACGTCCTCCCTAAGTACTTTCCATAAGCCATCTAGTGTACAAGAAAGACCGTTTCCGAGCTCTAGTTTCAACTGTCCAATCGCACATTCTCCAGCTCTTTGAGGTATGTGACCATTGAATGGGAGGCATGAATAGATGCCTTACCTTTGTGAACTCGCATCTTGTTGGCTTCATTTCCAGACGGAGATCTTTCTTGATTATATTGCATACTTTTGCCTAAGGCACGTGGACGGATTTTAGCACTAACTTTTGTGTTCATGAATTCTCACCTGTTACAGGACGCTGTAATTTGCTTACCACGTCTGGGATATCACTTGTTGTAGGTCTCTTTCTGGGTGGTCATGTTTATCAATATTCCTTTGTTTTCCAATGCTTTTAAGTAGAAGAGATATCCCATATTTGAAATTCTAAATCCCAATATGAACACATCTTGTGTTGGGAATGGTTATCGCATACCTTTCCTGAAAGTAAAGCATCACGGGTGGATAACACTACCTATGAAATGTAGTTCTGATACCTATCGTTCCACAACAGTTTTCTATTGGCAGTGGCTGTATCTGACTTACTGGTTTGCATATTTAGAATTGTTTTAATGTAACGCACTAAACCCTATATTATAGTACATGACAGCGCCGTAAAAATAATAAACAAGTGTCTTTGCTATCGTACAGCGCGTGACCAATCTCTGACACACCGCATAATATTGCTAATATTCGCCAATTCTTCAAAATTTTAATATCAACCAGAATGTATACTTTTAATTTTCCCAAAATAAAGAAAATCCTCGATTCGTACTTAAGGTTTTGGTGATCTGCTATAAGTAGTTGTTATGGTTTAAGCCTAAATGTTAATTACTAATTTTTAAAACTAGGTACTGATTAGTCTTTATCCTACTTTTCGTCTGCTAATCTGCTGCCGTCACCAGGGGAGTCCCAAGAAGGACTGTATCTGTGTTCGTTCTGCGTCGGGATTTTGGTCCCTTGTTAGGATGAGAGAGGGGTAGGTGCTATGTAGACCTCTTCCTCCCTATTGGTGTTATTCTATCCATACTGAAACTGACTCCTAGGTAGTATCCCTTTACTTTGCTGCTTTACACGCGGTATGTTAAAGTATTGTCGACTGTCTGCAATTTTTAATTTAATATATCCTTTTGAGGCCATGTCCTTTCCATGGGGTAATATGAACTTGTTCACTAACGTATGATTGTACCTTCAGTCCTATGCTTGCTATACAGTTCCATGTAGCACCCATACACACACACACAATCCTATTTTAATATAAATGCCCTTTTAAAATAGAGCTATGTTTGTGTCTAGGAATCATTTAGCCTAGCACTGTATAGCCAATTAGTATTGTTACGTCTCTGGTCGTTTGTTAATTTCCCGTATAATTTCTTTCGGATGAAACTTTAGCGATACAAGTCCTTTCTGAAATAAAACTAGTTTATTCGTTCTCAATACAACTTGCAATACAGTGACTGTGGAAATTAAGGTTTGTTTAAGTTATCTATAATTCACAACGATTCACGCACTTTACTTACTCCATGACTCGATTATCTGTCTCTATATCTCCCTATTTGCAATTATCTATGCCATCACTTCTCCTCTCCGCTTTATTTGCCGGGCTTATATATTAAAATAGAGGGTGCCTAGAAAATGCTAGGGCCTTCGTGATCCTTCTAGAATCTCATGACGTGTTACCAGCATCACATGACTTCCGCTGTCGTAACAATACGATAAGTAATATCAGATGGTTTAGATATGTTATTCCTTAACAGTTAGTGTTATGTACATACGATATGTAATATCAGATGATTTACATATTATTTAACACTTAGTGTTCTATACCTACGATATGTAATATCAGATGATTTACATCAGTTATTGTTTAACACTTAGTGTTGTATATATATATATATATATGATATGTAATATCAGATGGTTTACATATTATTTAACACTTAATGTTCTATACCTACGATATGTAATATCAGATGATTTACATCAGTTATTGTTTAACACTTAGTGTTGTATATATATATATATACGATATGTAATATCAGATGGTTTAGATATGTTATTCTTTAACACTTAGTGTTACGTACATATGATATGTAATATCAGATGATTTACATCAGTTATTATTTAACACTTAGTGTTATGTACATACGATATTTAATATCAGATGGTTTAGATATTTTATTGTTTAACACTTAGTGTTACATACATACAATATGTAATATCAGATGGTTTAGATATGTTATTGTTTAACACTTAGTGTTACGTACATACGACATGTAATATCAGATGATTTACATCAGTTATTGTTTAATACTTTCATGCAATAATTAAGTTTCAGTATTCTTATATAAATATATTGTAATCTTAGCAATTAGAAGTCATCGATCATTTGTACAAGACATCTTCAAGAAAGAGCCGAAGACTTTTAGACACTTTTGCTGATTCTTTGCGGCATGTGAATAAGTTGTATAATGATTTCTATGGAAGTGAAACCAGAAAAGTTCCAGCTCACATTGCTCATTTAATTGATGTCGACATAATGAACAGCTTACAAGAAAGGTATGTAGATTCATTACTTGTAGCAGTAAAAAATTTATAGCTATCAATGGAACTCCTTAGTTCTTTAGGGAAAAAACAAGATATATCAAATGATAATTTTTTGATTAGATTGTAATGTAACTTGATTCAACATATATATATATATATACATCGTTCAATAAATGATATAAAAGCTATAACTCTAAAAGGTTTTTTGTTAATGGTGATCAAATATATAGTTGCAGAAAAGCTTAAACAAACTTTTTATAGTTTGTGATCAAAAGAAATTAAAGTCTCAAAAGGAAGAAAATTTGATAATCTGTGACCAGTTTATAGACAGCATAACAGATAAGGATATGTGACCAATTTATAGACACCATAACAGATAAGAACATGTGACCAGTTTATAGATGCCATAACAGATAAGGACTCGTGACCAGTTTATAGATGCCATAACAGATAAGGACACGTGACCAGTTTATAGATGTCATAACAGATAAGGACATGTGACCAGTTTACAGACAGCATAACAGATAAGGAAATTATCTGTTATGCTGTCTATAAACTGGTCACATTTCCTTATCTGTTATGTCGTCTATAAACCGGTCACGTGTCGTTATCTGTTATGGCGTAAATAAACTGGTCACGTGTCCTTATCTGTTATGGCGTCTATAAACTGGTCACGTGTCCTTATCTGTTATGGCATCTATAAACTGGTCACATGTCCTTATCTGTTATGGCGTCTATAAACTGGTCACGTGTCCTTATCTGTTATGCTGTCTATAAACTGGTCACAGGACATGTGACCAGTTTATAGACGCCATAACAGATAAGGACACGTGACCAGTTTATAGACGCCATAACAGATAAGGACACGTGACCGGTTTATAGACACCTTAACAGATAAGGACATGTGACCAGTTTATAGACAGCATAACAGATAAGGAAATGTGACCAATTTATAGACAGCATAACAGATAAGGAAATGTGACCAGTTTATAGACAGTATAACAGATAACGACACGTGACCAGTTTATAGATGCCATAATAGATAAGGACATGTGACCAGTTTGTAGATGCCATAACAGATAAGGACATGTGACCAGTTTGTAGTCGCCATAACAGATAAGGACACGTGACCAGTTTATAGATGCCATAACAGATAAGGACATGTGACCAGTTTATAGACAGCATAACAGATAAGGACATGTGACCAGTTTGTAGACACCAAAACAGATAAGGACATGTGACCAGTTTGTAGTCGCCATAACAGATAAGGACACGTGACCAGTTTATAGACACCATAACAGATAAGGACATGTGACCAGTTTGTAGATGCCATAACAGATAAGGACATATGACCAGTTTATAGACACCATAACAGATAAGAACATGTGACCAGTTTATAGATGCCATAACAGATAAGGACACGTTACCAGTTTGTAGACGCCATAACAGATAAAGGACATGTGACCAGTTTATAGATGCCATAACAGATAAGGACACATACCAGTTTATAGATGCCATAACAGATAAAGACATGTGACAAATTTGTAGATGCCATAACATATAAAGACATGTGACCAATTTGTAGATGCCATAACAGATAAGAACATGAAAATTAGGCTGAAGCGAAGTAGATGTAAGTCTTTAAAGAAAGCTCTGTTGTTAGAACTTGAATCCTTTAAAGTTACAGTTAAACAACTATATGCACCATCTAGAAGTTATGGGATCATGAGGTCAAGTAGTATTGAATCATCTACTCCCTGTGACAATAGTTTAGAAGAAATTAAATAGATTAGTTAGACATCTAGATACATATAATATAAACTAGAAGACAATAGGAATTTCAAGAGTAACTTGAAAGTACATATTATTAGGAACTACAGACCAAAGCCTGTAGGGAATAAAAACTCCTCTCAATAGATACCAGAAAGAAGGAACTGTTATAGATGTGGCATACCTGGCTATTACAGCCAAGACTGTTAGTACACCAAGAAGCCAATACTTTATGGATAAGTGTTCAAATCCAACCATATCATAGGAAGAACAAAGGGCTAATTAGACATTGGGAAATGGGATTCAGCTGGATTTATGTGGCAAAGCTCAGCTCAGAATACCCCATCTGCCCAAGATGGGTTAAGGAATTTATTGTTTAATGAAACCAGTCCATGAATCCACAGATTTATTGATGGGAAGCCTTGCAGTGTATTTATCAACACTGGTTCTACAGAACCAATTTGCTCCAATTGCTAATTAAAGGTGGGAAATTGCTTCCAACATTGGTGAAAGAAGATGTAAATAACAAATAGATATAACGTTTCAGCTAGAGGGAAGTTACCCTTACTGTAGGAAGCAGGGTAATTAATTGACATTGAGAAACAGTGCATATTGAGAGCTGACTTCATGTGGCTACATGGATGTGTGGTTAGGTTAGCTTCAAATAGCTTCACAGTCTATGATCAGCAAATCTCTTTGTACTGTAATATGGTTACTACTCTACAGGTTAAATTTTCTCTAAGAACAAGGATGGCAGTCATTGTACCAAGAGGTGAAATACCAGGTGTTAATAGGAATGGCTATGAAAACAAACATGAAATTTGAAGCAAGTCTGGGTGGGACATTGCAAGATGTGAGGTTGTGTATATGTAGTTTTTCAACATCAGAAGTAGTTGCCTTTGAGGCAAGATGTCAGAAATCTGATATAAGATTGATACTGGAGATGCAGCCCCAATACATCAGTTAACCAAGCAATTTCAACTTGCAATATAGGCTGAGGCTTTGAAAGAGATAAAAACCAAGTAAAATCATGCATTGACAGAATCAAGTATTAGTCCTTGGGCATCAAATATTGTACTTGTGAAGAAGAAGAATGGACCACCATAAATTAAAGGAAGTCACAAAGAATGATGCCTACCCACTGCCAAGGATCCTCCACATATGATTTGAAGAGTGAACATTGGCAAGTGCAAATTAACACAGCAAGTAGAAGAGATAGCCTTTACTGCAGAAAAAGGGTTGCGCTACCAATTGTATTATGTAATGCACCTGCTACATTTCAATGAATAATGGAGTGTGTTGTGTCTGAACTAACCTGGAATGTCATTCTCATCTACTTGGATGACATAATTGCATAAGGTAAGACTTTTGATAATGCTTACAAAGGACTAAGGATGGTTATGGATTGGTTGATGATAGAGAAACCTATGCTTAATCCCAAGAAATGGGAATTGACCATCGACAGATTTGTTTCTTGGAACACACAGTCAGCTGAGAGAAAGTGTCTACATAGTCACTGAGAATTGTCCAATACCAAAGAATCTGCATGATGTAAAATTATTCCTTGGACTGTGCTCTTACTATCTTCATTTTGGAAAATAATTCTCTGACATAACTCATCCACTTTACAAATTACTTGAAAAGCCAAAAAAATATTGTTGGACTTCTGATTGTGAATAAATGTTCAGGAAACCGAAGACAAAATTGACTAATAGTACTGTATTAGCTTACCTAACTCTTGAAAGTTAAGTATAGGTTCTAATAATTGTGCAGGGGGAACAGTGTTATCACGAGTACAACATGGAATAGAACATATGATTGCCTAATATAGCAAGACATTGAAGACTGCAGAAAAAATGTAATGTACTTCTCGGTAAGAATTACTAAGTGTTGTCCTAAGTCATTTCCATCATTACCTACATAGACAAAGCTTACAATTTGGACAGTTCATGTAGCACTGAAGTGGCTGATGGATTGTAACAAAAATCCTGGACAGAACCATGGAAATGCCGACACATTATCCCTAAAACCATGTAAGAATGTAAGCTGTAAAAAGAGGGAAGCATGAGATAATAAAGATTACCAACCTAAAGTATAACAGAGAACAATCAATGGTGAAGAACAAATGTCTTCCAACACTTAGTTGAAATATACTCAGATATAGAATATGAGTTTGAACCAGTTATATTCAGTGGATGAAGAATAACACAGAAAAATCCTTATGGCAAACATTTGCTCCATACAGCCCAAAGTTGAAAATGTGACTACAGTTGGTACTTCCATAGTCTCTACAGTGTAAAACACTATGTCATCTCCACAACCTTACAATGTCTGGACACTTAGATGTCATTACGATACTGAAACAAGTAAGAGAATGCTACTATTCGGTTAGGTTCTGTAGAAAATTGATGCATATTGTGTGAGCTGTGCTGTGAACAATATGGTTCACAGAAGAAACAACATGGGCAGCAACAGCAGTATTGTTAAAAAGTAGTTTTGATACACTTTGTTCCTCTGAAACTTTATATTGGCTGTTGCTGTTAATTGATTTGTTGCTTTCCGTATTCAAAATGGTTTAAATATAATGTACTCAACCTTCTGTACAATGTGGATAAAGGTAGCAGTTGCCATATAACATACACATATAAAGGGAATATTTCACATTTTTCATACCTCTCTAGTGTTTCACTCTTTTCATTTATGGCATCATAATGTTGCGAGCAATCTTGAAACATTTATATTGTTGAAACACTGTGTATTTTCTACTTCCATAAGGAAAGGTTGTATCAAAAAGAAACATATGCATTAATAAGATATAAATATGTGTGTGTTGTATGTACAGAAATGTACATACTAATTATGTTCAACATTTTATGTTACACATTCCACTCTTTTTATTGGAGCTGCTTCTTCCTTTACATGTCCTGCTCAATTTACTGGATATTATAGCTTCTGTTCATGAAGATGGGAAGTCTTAGCATACACTCTCCACTCTTTGTTAATGTACACTTCCAAGACCATGTACAAGTAAGCAAAGGGCACAAAAGGCCATTGGAGCTGCTTCAGAGAATTTGACAGACATGGAGTTTTCAGTTTCTTTCTAATTCAAACAGACATTGAAATTAAGCAATGGCTGGAAGTGAGTGAATCATTTCTTTTCCAACAGTACTGTGATACACACCTAGCTCTTGATCACAGTGTCTTTTATTGTGAATTGGAACTTTTTGTGGCACACACCTAGCTCTTGATCACAGTGTCTTTTATTGTGAATTGGAACTTTTTATGATACACACCTAGCTCTTGATCACAGTGTCTTTTATTGTGAATTGGAACTTTTTGTAATACACACCTAGCTCTTGATCACAGTGTCTTTTATTGTGAATTGGAACTTTTTGTGGTACACACCTAGCTCTTGATCACAGTGTCTTTTATTGTGAATTGGAACTTTTTATGATACACACCTAGCTCTTGATCACA